GTGTGTGCGCGCAGCAGAGGACTGCTTTCCAGAAATACAGTGTTTGGGTTGAAGTGTCTGACAAAGGAACACGAAGGACCAGAACAATATGGGGTTTTAAAATGAGGTCTTTAAATGGAAGATGACTCTTGAAATGCCACCCGTTTCTTACAATCCGGCTCTGTCTTTTCTTTTGCCAGGAGCTACGAAGCTCTGCCCCGTGACTCTGGCTGCAAAGCAGCCGAGCAACACAGAGAGGTTTTGTCCCCACTCAGCAGCCCTCCTGTTGAACAGGGTGCTCCAAGCAGCGCCTGGAAGTGTCTTAGCAGCTAAATGAAGCTGCTTAACATGTTTCACAGACCTGGAGTTTAGTCAGCTAATGAGAGGACCCCCCTGGGTGGCAGCTGCTCCCCAGGAGGTTTTCTTTCCCTTCTGGAAGCCTTACAAGCTCTTTCAGCCCATTAGGACTCCGCGTGGTTATTTAATGCCCTTGTGGGAATTGCTTTCTCTGTCATCTTAAATCAGAGATCAGCAAACATTTTTCGTAAAAGGCTGGATAATAAATATTTTTAGCTCTGTGGGCCATATGGTCTCTGTCACAGCTACTCGGCTCTGCTCATGTAGCACAAAAGCAGCCATAGATAAAGTGTAAACAAACGAATGTCTGTGTTCCAATAAAACTTTATTTGTGAACGCTGACATTTGAAATCCATATCATTTTCATGAATCAGATAATGTTCTTCCTTTTTCTTTTTTTACAACCATTAAAAAATATAAAATCCATTCTTTTTAAAAAAATATATATTTTATTGATTTTTTACAGAGAGGGGAAGGGAGAGGGATAGACAGTTAGAAACATCGATGAGAGAGAAACATCGATCAGCTGCCTCCTGCACACCCTCCTACTGGGGATGTCCCCGCAACCAAGGTACATGCCCTTGACCGGAATGGAACCTGGGACCCTTCAGTCCGCCTGCCGATGCTCTGTCCACTGAGCCAAACCGGTTAGGGCTATAAAATCCATTCTTAACTCATGTGTCAGACAAAGACAGGCAGTGAGCTGAGTTTGGCCAGGAGGTTGGGGGTAGGGGGAGCATAGTTTTCTAATCCTTGCTTTAAGCCAATAATTGACAATGAAGAATACCAGCATAGCCATCAGCTTCCCTCATTTATCTAAATGTTAGCGAGCATTGAAAATGTCAGCTGTTACTCTAATAATTAGTCAGTTGAGATAAGTTTGGGAATAAAGGTCAGCATATAATATTTCTATTCATTGGAAGAATGCCAGTAAACTCAGTGAATTGGGCTCATTACTGATTTCTTTGTGTGATTCCCCATTCCCTAGAAAAGATCAGGGTCTGAAGTGAAATTGAAAGGCTTCGATATGACGTTTAAAAGCCTTCCTTGGTGTGGTACCGACCCTGCCTGGATATACCGATGCCTGCAGGGAACCTCTCTGCTCTCTGGTTTATTAGCCAACCCCGGAAGGGTAACTCTTTCTCTCTCAGATCAGAGAGAAGAGGGGAAAGTGACTCCAGAGCTTGGGTGATGGCAAGAAAGGGTTTTTTTTTCTTCTTCACCCTGACCCACTAATTCACAAAGATCCCTTCTCCACCAGGTAGAGGGACAGGAAACTGGTGTGACACTCGGGTTTATTACACTCCTAGTTGTAATTTGATGCATCAAGGTGCTCCTAGACTGAGAATACCTTGATAACATGAAGTTAGTGTCTCTTCTATACTTGATTGCCTAATCGACTTTATTTTACTTTTTTAAAATATCTCTTTAATTGATTTCAGAGAAGAAGGGAGAGGGAGAGAGAGATAGAAACATCAATGATGAGAATCACTGATGGGCTGCCCCCTGATGGGAATCCAGCCTGCAACCCAGGAATGTGCCCTGACAGGAAATCGAACAGTGACCTCCTGGTTCATAGGTTGACGCTCAACCACTGAGCCACACCAGCCAGGCAATATACTTTATTTTAATTCTCCCCCATCATTTTCCTCCTCACTTTTTTCTTCTTCCTTCCATATTCCCCCTTTCCTTTCTGCCTTTTGAAGTAATAATTTAATGTTCACATGTGTTCTATACTCTTCCTACTTCAAGTGTGAGTCTGTACTAAGAGTGATGGCAGCTTCTTAGAAATGTGGTATTTTCACCCCCCACCCAAACCATTCAGAATCTGCATTTTAACAAGATCCCTAGGGTGTGCACATTAGAGTTTGAGAGGTGCCTTTATAATATCCTTATCATTCCAGAGAAAAATGCTCAAGACGAACCTCAGGCTTAAATAAACATCCTGGAGGGAAGCAGAGAATTAACCTTCTCAAGATTGTTCAGAATTTCAGAGAAAAGGCAAGGATTGGAGTCAAACTTTAAAATGAGCGAGTAGTGGTCCCCCTTTGGGAGAATCCAAGCACTTTTTCCTCTAGCAGTGTTCAGGGTGGACAGGTTATCCAGGACCAGGGCACGCTAGCTCAGGATCCAGAGCACAGAGCCTTGGTATAGCGCCCAGCTCTGGGGTGGAGGGACATGTGGGCGTGATACACACTCCTCCCCTGTGGAGGGCTGGGGTCACCAACGCCTTTTCCCTGCAGAGAGATCGGCAGAGGAGAAGGTGAACAGAGCAGTCATTCCTTGGCATTCTGGAATACAGGGGGGAAAGGTAGTGCGAGCTGATAGATGCTTAATTAGCAGCTTGGGGAAGTGGGGAAGAAGCCCTGATTTTCATGGTGCATATACCAATATTCCCACCTTGGTTGATTTCGAACTATCAATGTGTTGTCGCTGAATGAGGACTTGGGAAGAGGCACACAGGAGCCCACCATTATATGAGAGCTGCACTATACAGGTACAACAGACGTAAATAAACTCAGAAACATAATAGTAGTAAACTGCAATAAAATGATTAGCAACTAATGAGTTGTACTGGTTATCTTTGTTTTTACCAGAACTAATTTAATTGTAAGTTTATATAACCTAAATTTTAATAATGGTTGTGTTTAATGACCAGGTCCAAATATTCCTGACAATCAGCTTTCATGTATGAGCAGGCTCTAGCCCAGGGGTGGGCAAACTTTTTGACTCTAGGGCCACAATGGGTTCTTAAACTGGACCGGAGGGCCGAAACAAAAGCATGGATGGAGTGTTTGTGTGAACTAATATAAATTCAAAGTAAACATCATTACATAAAAGGGTACGGTCTTTTTTTTTTTAGTTTTATTCATTTCAAACGGGCCGGATCCGGCCCGCGGGCCGTAGTTTGCCCACGGCTGCTCTAGCCCATCCATTGGAAAAGGCATTTTCACAACTTCGGACTATAGTCATAGGTTGCTTTAAAAGGCACCTGTACAATATATCTGGGTATCACCCCTTTTACTCACATGGATGTCCCAGCAAACCTCTGTTTGCAGATTGCCTTAAAAGAGAGGAAAAAAAGTTGTCTGCAGTATTTCACGCATATAATTCACCCTACAAACTTTCATTAAACTTTCTCAAGAACATTTTACAGGTGTTCCCTGTGTTGGAATATTCTAGTTGACAATTTTCCAGATTCCATTTGGAGCATTTCATGTGACTTATACCATGAGTTTTGTTTTGTTTTTCAGAGATGTTCCCCAAATACTATTTAGCCTTGTTTCCACTCTTGATTCACAATTTTTAATGCTTGTTGCTCAATAAATATAATGCTTTGACTTGGATTTTATCTTCCCGAGTCTTCAATTTTATTAAAAAAAAAGTTAACAGACAACATCATCCAAGCAGTAAGGAGAATAGAATGAGTTTAAATGCTATAAAGTAAACAGTCAGCTTCTTATAACAGAGCTGGCCATTAATTTCCTTGGAAGGATCCAACAGTTTTACATTTCCAAGAATCCTTGCTAGTATTTTCCTAAGTGGATGCCTAAAGGGTCTGAGTCAGGCCACCAGGTTCCTCATCCCAGATCCCTCATTAACTAGCCCTCCCCCCCACCCCCACCCCCACCCCCGCGCGCACCACCACCACCACACACACCCGAATCTAAGTCACTCAGTCTCTCTGAGCCTAAGTTTGCAGCCTTTCAAATAAGCGCTTGGTCCATGATGTGTAAAATCCCTGTTAGCTCTTTTTTTTGTTTTAATTTTTGAAAATAGAATAAAAAGAAATAAAAATCCAGGAAGAAACAACTTGTTGCTCATTTGAGCAGTGTGCCTGGCCTGCCTTTTTGATGCATTACACCGTTTTAATTTAATTCTCTGAGAGAAAAAGGCATATCCGTGCTATTTCCTAACAGCTCATTAAGTGCGTTTTCCATAAAAATGATTTGCATGACCCATTTCTCGGCTGCTGAGCTGTTTACGATCCTAAGTATCTGGATCTCTGTTAGCGTGACCGACCTCTCCCGTGGCCACCCTGTGATACTGCCGTCTGGTGCTACCCAGGCCGCCTTCGCTGCCACGGGTCCTCAAGAGCTGCTTCCACCAATCCGACTCCTACGTCCCCTTCCTCCCAATCGTCTCTGCACGGTCCCCAGAGTCTGAAGCGCAAAGCCAACACCTCGAGGGCGTGGTCTAAGCACCGGAGGGGGGGGCGTATGCCCAGGCACCTTAGAAAGAAGAAATGAAGTCCCCGCAGGATCCTGATGACTGCAGTACTTTAAACACTAACTCGGCCAGCAGCTGGCCCTCTCCTCCGTTCGCTTTGGAGAGGGCTGCGATTTGCATTCCAGGTGTGATTCGGCGCCTCCTTTCTTCAGTTTTCAGTTACAGAAGTGCCATCGCCGCCTAGCTCCCAGGTTCCGGTGATTCGGTTTATTGTGGCAACAGTTCTCGGCAACTGCTCAGGTGCCCAGCGTCTTCTTGCCGAGCTTTTAAGTGCTGAGGTGGAAGAGGCGGAGGCCGCTGGGAGCAGGGACCGGAGGTGTAGGGCGCGTGTTGCTTGGGGCGCAAGCGCCGGGGACTTGGGGCGCACGAACACGGCCCGCGAGGCGCGCGGGGGCTCACAGCCGGCCCGGCCGGAGGAGCGCGCGGCCCGCAGCATGGGCTGTGGACCTTCCCAGCCTGCTGAGGAACAGAGCTTTGTCCCCGCGCCGAGGAAGGGCTGGGAAGAGGGATTCAAGGTAAAACAGGGGAAAAAAGGGCAAAAAGCCTTTGCCACGCTTGGGGGAAGCTGAAGTGGGCTGGAGAAGGGCCTGCTGGGGCTCACAGGGGATGCGCGGTAGGGTGGGCGGGTTGAGACCAACTGTATTCGGCCAGTGTTTAACTGCTGTCTTCGTCGGGATTCTTGCTGCTATAGGACCAGCTTTGAGAGAGTTTTGTGTTTCAAGAGCTAGCGAAGGTGCTAGCACCCCAGGGCAGAGACAGCGGCAGGAAAAACGGGATGTGTGGTGCGTTGTGCACGGAGCTGGGGTTGGAGGTGATTCTCAGGCGCAGGTGAGCGTGCCTAGAGCTGCGTGGTTTACTAGCTTCCGGCAAGTGGGCCCTGTGGGAATTACTTAGCGCTGGAAGAGACCTCGCTTGCCTCCTGAGGACCCTGAGGCCCAGAGCGGTGGTCAGCTTGCCCAAGGCTGCACCGCTTGTTTGGGGGCAGAGCTGGATATAGACTCTAGTATTCTAAGGTCTCATTCCAATACGCTTTCCACTCTCCCTCAAGGCTGAACCCCCCCTTAATTCTTCTGGAGACAGGCAGGGGAGTTTTTCCAGGGTGGGGAATAGAGGGATGGGTTGGTCCAGACAGAATGAGGTTCATGATTTCTTCCCATCCTCACCACCATCAAGATTCCGCAAACTAGGAACCCACAAGGGTCCCTTCAGAGGGGTTACCCAAAGATACTGTTGCCATATAATTTATCATCCAAAGCAGGATACTTTTACGAGTGAAAGGGAACACTAATAATAACTTTGCCCAGTCTGATGTAAGCCCATACTGTCACCTTTCCTAAAGGGCATATTTGGAACTACAGGTGAAAGAGCACACTTCCTATCCACGGGCTCTGTGTAAGACACTATTCAGTGCGAGTTACAGCACCTATTCTGTGAGGCACATCTGCTGGGCTATTGGAGTGAGAAACAAACCAGGGTCTAGTGAAGGCTGAGACTCAGGCATCTACCTGCTGCCCTGGGGGAGAGCAGAGGAAAACATCTGCTTTCCACCCCAACTACCACGGGCTGCTTTTAGGGCCCAATTACCTCTTCCTGGGTCTTTCTGCCTCTCCTGTCACCACCCTTGCCAGTCTATCTTCCACACTGCCAACTATCTTCCTAAGAAAAAACTTTCTGGAGCGTGCAAAACCGTTGGCATTTGGTCCCACCAATCTCTCTAATGTCATCCTCTCCTCTCCAGTCCTTCTCACTCATGGACTTTCCCTGCCCTCAAGGTTGATTCAAGCCAAGAACGTGCAGAGCTCCTTCTTCCAGCCTCATCACCATGCATGTCTTTCCTTATGCCATTCCTCCTTCCTGGAATGCCCTTCCCTGGCCCCATTCCGGGCTACCTGATGAATTCTACTTATCCTCCAGGACTGAGCCCAAACAAATGTTTGTTTAAGCTTTTTCTCCCTCTTAGATCCATGGGCTTTGTGAGAACAATTTGCTCGTCTTTGTTATCACTCAGTATCACTTTGGACTATATTCCTACATAAGAGAATTCTTTTTTCTCTTTTTTCAAAAAATATATTAACATAATTTAAAGTTTTAATCCTTTTTGTTTTCCCTTTTCTGTACAAAAATCTATTTAATCTGTAATTTTTCTGGCATGATTACATACAAGACTTCAATAGAAAAAATGTTCAGTATGTATGTTTCTTTTCTGGTCATTGTCATTGGTTCCATTATATGGTTTTTAATTGAACGCATTTTTTGTATAGAGCCCGAGGGTACACTAAAAAGCAAGTTCTCTGAGTGTCAAATACACTAGGTCCTCCTTGGCCAACCCTCCCCAAGACCTGGTAGGGTTTCTGGGTTTCTTCGAGAATTTCTTGGCTGAGGTAGTCATTGCCTCTTGTTTGGATCTTTGAACAATTTCCAAATTGGTCTGTCTAGATTGTTCTTCCACTAACCACCCCCACCTGCCCTCCATCTTCAGTCTTCCACATGACCTTGAGAGTGATCGTTCTAAAATAAAACCTGATAATATCATCCTCTGCTGAAAAAAAGTTACCAGCCATTAGGTAGGCACACAAACCAGTGATCAAGAATGTGACCACCTAGGTTGGATTTCTGGATTCACTACTTGCTGTGTGACTTTGGTCAAGTATTTAACCTCCCCATGCCTCAGTTTCCTTATCTGTAATATGAGAATAATTAATAATAGTGATTTTATAGAGTTGTTGTGAAGATTAAATTAATTCAATTCATGTAAAGTGCTGATACCAATGCCTGGCACAGAAAAAGTGCTTAGTATTAGTTATTACAATTATTATTATTATTATTATTATTATTATTTTTACATTTATTTATGTAAGATCAAATCCCGAATCCTTACCATGCCTTCCTAGCCATCCTCAAGCTGTGTCAAATTCTCCACATTCATTCTAGTCACACCTTACTTACTACTCATTGTTCTCAAATCCATTCTCTTTCAGTCTCCAGGCCTTGGCACCCAATATTTTCTCTCCTTTCAGACTTTTCCTTCTCCCTTTTCTTGGCCCACATGCAAATATGTACCTATCTTTCAAGTTGACTCAAAAACATTCTTCTTCATTTCCCCTGTTACCATGCTCACAGAGTTGACCTTATTACCTTCTCCTATCACGTTTCAAAACATTTTTATTGTATTTGTTTCCATGTTTGCTTCCCATCCTGAGCTATCACCTGCTTGAGGCCAGGAGCTGTGTTTTGTCTTTTATCTCCAGTGCTCACTACAGTGCCTGATGCAGACCAGGCACTGATGACTGTTTCTTGAGTGACTGAATGCCCTTCCCAGTTCCTTCCTGGGTTAGCATCTACCTGTCTCCTAGTAGCAGAACTAGACTAATGACAGTCAGCAAGGAGGAAATCCAATATTAAAATAACCTGAAAATAGACTCAGAGTCAACTCACGTATATACCTCTCTTTCCCCACCCTGAGCACTTGACTTTGGATGTAGAATCTGGGAAAGATATGATTATTAATTAAACATTAGCTATCAGAACCGTACTGTTTCCTTCATAAATTCATAGGGCCGAGAGTTCACTAGTTCGACAATGTCTTTAAAATTAGATGAATATGTTTGCTTACATTAAATATTTATGTTTCTTGGCGGCATGACTTTCAAATTTTCAGAATCAAATTTCTTGAGACCTGCCTGCAGACTTTCTCTTCACCTTACCTTAGTCTAAGTGGTGAGAAGTCGCTGCACTAAAATAATGCATAATAAGAAATGATGGGAAACTTTTCCTCATTGGGGAACTCTCCTTCTATATTTGACAAGAAAATTCTTGTTTATTGACAGTTAGAAGGACTTAATACTTCTTAAAGTTCAATTTTTACAAGAGCATGTTTCTGACTTTTTTTTAGAGTTGCTATTTGTTATTTCATTCATTAGAATTAAAGTAGAAAAAAGAAATGTTGAAGAACAAACTCTTTCTATATGTCTGTGGAAAAATATATTTATAAAATGTATCTGCCAATAATTTGGTTTTAGAAGGTTCAAGCTCCGGGGAACCTTGACAAATGACTCCCTCCAAGCTGTTTGAAAAAGTTGTTTCCCAAAAGCTTTAGAACACATGTAATACTTGCAGACCAAACAACTACAACAAAATATCCTGCCTATAGTTAAAATCAATGCCTTTTTTGGGGACACTGATGATTCTTATGCATAGCTGTTAGCTTGGAATTTCCAGCTTTTCAGTTTTGTCTAAAATTGATCTAAAATTGATCAAGACAATGGAGTATAAAATAAAACTGTTACAGTTGTGCTTCTGCTACAACTTCATCTCAGGGAGAAAATGAAACCTCCCACCCCCTCCTGGCCCTCCCTCAGGATCAGCGCAGATAGATTCTTACTGGTGTGAAACTATGAACTCTGCATGCACAGACAGAACAGGAAAACTCTTCACGTATCCCCAAGAGGCCTAGATCTCATTAGTTTGTAAATATCTCTGGTCTTTGAATTATGTCTATTCCCAAGTCTAAACTATGAAATTGGGTTAAAATTTCTGGAATGTGTTGTACATAGATAAGATATTTGAAAGACATTCTTAGTATACAAAAGGGAAAAAAAACTTAAATTTCCGCTCTAGAACCTGAAGGCTGGTATGTGTTATTTTATGCTGAAAGATTGTGTCTCATCTGCTACAGTTTAAGTTTTGGCCACTAACGGAGCTTGAAGGCAGAGTGTATCTAACTAAGCAGACACAGGGAAAAGCTCCTTGCTAAGGCCTGGGTTAGTCACTTCCAGGAAACACTCGGAGGTCATGCAGGATGGCGGCATTTAAATCTATTCCAATTTGTAGTCAACAGAATATGTTTGTGAAAAGACACCTTGTAGACTGAAAATATTCAGATTTGCTCTCAGCTCCAATGTGGGCATTTTGTTTATTGTTGTTAAATTTTTCAAGATCTCCACTGGGAAATGTGAACTGGCAAAATTAATTTCTGTGTGTTACTTAGCGCTTCACTAGATTCAAGAAAATATAGATCTGCAAAACAAAATTAACTTGTGAATTGAGACAGGCTAGTAAGCCAGGACGAGTGGAATAGGGAAGCCGAGACAGATAGTTAAATGGTCAAGCAGTTTATGACCATCTAGTAAATGATAAAACCCTATCTTCCCTAACCAAGGACACTTAAGCATACTCGAGGGCAAATAGCTTAAATCATCCTACTCAGGGAGATAGATAGCAGAAATCCAATTAGTGCCATTTGTACCAGCCACACTCAAGAACAGATGAAGTTAAGGGAATAAATCTCGTTGTGGTGCATCAGCATAAAGATAATGAATATTCTATTGAGATCCTCCCCTAAGACCTCCCCTAAACTATCAACCTTTAAAACCCTCAAGACAAAGGACCCAGGGCTTGCTCTCCCTCCCACCTTTCCCTTCTCCCTCTTCTCCCCCCACAGGTGTGCATCTCCTAAACTCTAAGGGACCCCATGAGACTTGCAACCAGTGGAGCAAAGGGCAGCAGCAGCTTGTCC